CTCGTTTGCTGGGGCCTCCCCTCCGCCACCATACGCGCGCGAGTACCACTCGGGGTGCACCTTCGGCATGTCAGTCGGGTCCGCAGGGAGCTCGCTGACGAAGGACGGCTCGGTCGCGGCAAGCTGCTTGCACAACTTCCACGGCAGGAGCTTCTTGGCGTATGTTTTCGCCCGCTTGAAATAGCCCCACTGTGCCATCGGACACATGCGCATCGTCCAATCGAAGCCGTCCACGAGGAGGGCGACGCACGCCGCCAGTTGAACCGTCGGCTCATGCAGCGTGCGCCACCCGAGGGATTTGCAAGCCTGCAGGACGACCGCAACCCGACCCATGAAGTCGTTGCGCTCGTCCAGGATCTTGTCCCACTGCCTCTTCGTGAGGTAGGCGAGGATGGACGAGAAGTCCTGCATCGGCGTCCTGCCCGACCCCGCCAGCTCCGCGCTTGCGGCCGCGTTAGCGGCCAACATTTGCGCTGAGGCCGTCGCCAGCGTCGTGACGCGGCCGAGCAGCGTGGCAAGCGCCCTCTTGCCGAAAGGCATCTGGCCGATCTCCAGGACCAGCATGGCCGAGTCCTCGGCGGAGATGAAGGTCCACGGCGCCATGATGGCCATCGCCATGGCGCTCTGCGCCTCCGCGATCTCCTTGTACGCGTCGGACTTCTTCCCGATCTGGGCGAGGACCGACTTGGCGGCCTTCAGCTGCTTCACCAGGTCGGCCGCCATGGCGCCCGCGGGCGTCACTCGCGTCGCGCACGCGGCGCGACTGCAAAGCCGACAACGGCTATGCACAGCGATCGTTCAAAACGATTGCCGCCTACTTAAGTTAGCGATCGGTATCGCTTCTCTGCTTCTCCCTCCTCCTCCCCGCCCTCCCCCAAGCGATCGCTATCGCTTCTCCTTCTCCTCCTCCTCCTCCTCCTCCAAGCGATCGCCATCGCAACCTCCCCCCATCCCCCTCCTCCTCACACAAGCGATCGCCATCGCTACATCCCCCGTCCCTCCCCCTCCTCCTATGATCCCTCCTCCACCTCCTCCTCCTCCTCTCTTGTTTTTGCAACCCGTAGGGTTCGGTCCGTGCACGTCCTACTCCCCCCTCCCCCCCTCCCCCAAGCGGTCGCCATCGCTGTTCCCCCCGTCGCCCCTCCTCCTCCTTCTGGGGGAGGTGAAGCGACGGCGATGACGATGAGGAGAAGGAAAAAAGATGAGGAGAAGGAAAGCGATGTCGATCGCTGAAAGGAAGGTGGATGATGATAAAGGAGATCACTGAGCGCCGCGCGCAGCCGCTCTGCCTCGTGGAGGCGCGCGGGGCTCGCGCGCGCGGGGCGCGGAGGCGCGATGTGGGGTGCTCCGCGCGAGCTCGCGCAGGGGGCTCGCGCTTTGGCGCTCAGGCGCCAGCGCGACAACCTGCTGCAGCAGCTCGCGGAGGCGGATGCCCCCTCCTCCCAGCGATCGCCATCGCTCTCCCCCGAATCCTCCTCCTCCGCTTCCTCCCCTTCCTCCTCCTCCTCCACCTCCTCCTTCCCCCTCCTCCCCCTCCTCGCCCCTCCCCCCACCCCCTCCTCCCTTCACTCCACCGCCCCTCTCCCCCTCCCCCCGCCTCTGCAGACTGTCAACGCGGAGCAGACAGAGCGCGCCGTGCAGCTCTCGCTGTGGCTGGAGGAGGCGGGAAACGATGACGACGAGACGACGACGACGGCGGCGGCGACGACGACGACGAATGAGGCGGAGCGCGAGCTAGTGATCGCGATCGGCGAGAGGGACGCGGTGCTGCGGCGGGAGGCGGAGCTGAAGGCGGAGAACGCGCAGCTGAGGAAGGAGGCGCAGGAGGCGCAGCTGCTGCGGAGGGAGGAGCAGGCGCGCCTTCAGGCGGAAAATGCGCAGCTGAGGGCGGAGAAGGCGGAAAAGAAGAAGAAGAAGAAGAAGAGAAGAAGGAGAAGAAGGAGAAGGAGGCGGCGGCGAAGGCGAAGGCGGCGGCGAAGGCGGCGAAGGCCAAGGCGGCGCGCGCCGCGGCGAAAGCGCCAGCGGCGGCGAAGGCGCCGCCAGCGCCGCCAGCGGCGCCAGCGGCGGCGAAGGCGCAAATGCCGCCGCCGTCGACTCCGCCTCCGCGGTGAGGCCGCGCGCCCGCAAGCGCGGAGCGCGCCGCGCGCCCGCAAGCGCGAAAACAAAAGACCAGCGATCGTAATCGCTATCCCCTCGTCCTCTTCCCCCCACCCCGCCCTCCCCCAAGCGATCACCATCGCTTCTCTTCCTCCTTCCCGTCCTCATCCTCCTCCTTCCAAGCGATCGACATCGCTTCACCTCCCCCAGCGATCGCCATCGCTTCTCCTCCTCCTCCTCCTCCTCCTCCTCCTCCTCCTCCTCCTCCAAGCGATCGCCATCGCTACCTTCCTCATCCCCCTCCTCCTCACCCAAGCGATCGCCATCGCTTCTCCTCCTCCTCCCCATCCAAGCGATCGACATCGCTACCTTCCCCATCCCCCTCCTCCTCACCCCAGCGATCGCCATCGCTACCGCGGCGAGCACCCACCAGGCGGCGCCGCGACGATCTCCAGGTCGATGGGCAAATCCCAAATCCTGAAAAACCTCTTCAAATCCAGATAACCTCTCCAATCCAGAAAACCTCACCAAATCCAAAAAAGATTTCCCCAAATCCGAAAATCGTTCCTGAAAACTACATCCACCTCCTCCTCCTCATCCCTCCTCCCCCTCCTCCTCCTCCTCCTCGTCCTCCTCCTCGCCCTCCTCCTCGTCCTCCTCTGCGTGGGGGCCGCGGGCCGCGACGCCCCTGCGGCGCGGCGGGCGGGCGCGCGGCGGGAGGGGAAGAGAAGCGAAGGAGGGATGGAAGGAAGTTATAAGTTACTTATAAGTAACATATATGTTACTTATACCTACTGCATCTCAGCACGGGTAAGTAACTTAGCGGTAGTTGTAAGTATCTTCCAGCGTCATTAATAATCAGCGAAATACTTATAACTAACCTAAGTATAGTTATGCGACAAGACAAATACTTAAGGGCACATAGAAATAGTTAGAAATACTTAGGTACTTATCCCTTGCTATAAGTATCTTATACCTAGCTGTACCTATGGTGCAACTAGCATAAGAACCACCATTCTCGAAGCGGCTTCGGCGGCACAAGCCGGCGGAAAAAGATCGGGGGCAACGATGGGGGATAGGCATGGGGGGGGGTCATCGACCCCCAATCGCCCATTGATCGCCGATAGGGGCCCGATAGCCCCAGTCCGCCCAGGAGGGTGCGGTTTCGCTGTCGGGGGCCTGTCGCCGATCAATCGGTGATTTATCGCCGACTCCAGGTCGATGCGTCCCCCCTATGCCAGCCCCCCCCAATCGCTGCCCCTCAGAAAACAATTGCCCTCCACGAGATGTCAAAGCTTGACGGGAGTCTGGGTTTCCAGAAACCGCCGCGTGGTTCCATTGGAGACAGCAGAGCGGGGTGATTGCAGGCCCCCAGGGCGAAAACAAGTACACAGTGTTCCTTTCTAAGTTTTCCAAAGTTCTTTCATTTTTTAGGGCGCCAGGACCCTTTCATTTCTAAATGTTCTATCCTGGGCCGCTTCCTGGCCACTAGGGGGCCAGGAACAATTAGAAACGAGCACACTTCGAAATGAGCACGATTAGAAATGAACGACGTGCACACACATTATGTACAATCGGTGAGCGTACGGGGGTGCACAGCCTCGGCGCGCGTGGGGCCGACCGAACAGGTGGGGCCGCGCCAGGATCTTGTCGGAGGCCTTCTCGGGGCCGTCTGGGAGACCTCTTAGTAGCATGCAGAATTTCAGGAGGGAAAGAAACACACAGACACAATTAATCGTCGACTCCCAGGAAAATATGCAAAAATATGGGAAGTGGGGGGGAAGACAAAAACCCCAAAAATATGAAAAATATGGGGAATTATTTTATGTGTGTGTATTTATTTGTGTGTCCCAGGGCCCCTTCAGAATTGACGGCTGACCACGCGACCACAAGCACCGACCACCCACAACCAAGCACCGCCACCACCGACTACCGCCGCCTTGCGCCGGCATCAACACCAAGCCCAGCACAGACGACCAACACAGACTCCACCCAACGACGCGGCACCAACACACCGCGACATCGACTACAAGGATTCCTCCCCCTCCTCCCCTCCCCTTCCGGTTCACAGAACCTTTTATGTCTCGCATGCGCGCACTTCCATACACAATAGTACTTCAGAGGCCACGGCCTCGTTCACCTGGTCTCCAGTAGGCCCGGACTGCTGTCCGCACCGGTGGTCGTTCGTTCTCAGGGGTATACCCTGAGACACCGTCTCGGGGGAGTCCCTTGGGAGGGTATGGGCGGGTTGGAAGGCCGTGGGGCCCGTCTGGAGTTCGTTGGGGCAATCTTGGAGCTGCCATGGGTTGTCTTGGAGGCCGGCTGGGGGACTCCTTCGGCCGCAGTGATGCACGTTTGGGCACCCCTTGGGCCGTGTCGAGGCCTCTTGGGGGTATTTGGGGTTCTCTCTGTGGCCTTAGGAGCCCATCTTGGAGCAAATTGACGCCGAAAGATCAAGAGAAAACGCATATAGCGAATGCACGGGATTGCCTCTCGAAAGCTCTTCACGGAGCAATCGTGCAACCTGCCGGTGGTCTCTTGGGGCCACCTTGGAGCACTCTCGGGGCCCTCGGAGCCATCTTCGGCACGTCGGGGCTCGCCGAGATGTTCGCGGGCCACTCGGGGCGTCCAGTCTGGGCCCATGGAGCAGCCAAGCAGAGCCCAGCGCAGGGCTGGAACTAAACGTTGTTTTTCGTTTTGGTTTCGTCTTGTTGTTCGTTTTGCCCTACCTGGTTTCCGGTACCTCCCTGCCAAAAACAAAAAACAAAACAAAGCCGAAATCCAGCAAAACAGCGTTTAGGTCCAGCCCTGGCCCAGCGCCCAAAGCACGGCCTGAGCAGGGACCCAAGGGGGGGAAGGTGATCCCAGCGGGCTGATGTCGGAGAGGGGAGGCGCTTCTTGGCATGAAGGAACCCCAGCAGCACCTCCTCGGCAGTCTAAGCTGCGCGCCGCAGCCAGGCTGGCGGATCATCGTTGTCTGCACTGGGGTGGCCGAGTACGTGCTCGTTCACTCGGGTGTCGACTCGGGTCTTCTGTCGAAGGTGAGGCTTCTCAGACTGGCGAGGATGACGAAGCTGATGCGGATGGTCTACCACGTGCCGTTCTTTGTCGAGCTGAGGAAGCTGATGTACATGATCAGCAGTTGCATGAAGACCCTGTTCTGGTCATTCTTGGTACTCGGGGTGGTCATGACGATGTGGTCGATCGTGGCGGTGGAGCTCGTCCACCCTAAGGTCCTCGAGCTGTCGTCGCGGGGCCAGTGGTCCGATTGCGAGAGGTGCAGCCGGGCTTTCTCCACGGTGTTCCACGCCAACATCACCTTCTTTCAGACGATTGTGGCAGTCGAAGAAGAAAAAACGCATAAACATCAACTTTTGTAACTCCGCGCGGATTTCTTCGATCCGCGCAGGGCCTTCCCGGCGCCGCTCCGACGCCGCCCCTGGCGCGCTCCGCGCGCCAGGGAGGGGGACACAGCGCGGATCCAAGAAACCCGCGGTGAGCGCAAACGTTTCTGATTACGCAGTTGTTTTTTCTAGGCAGGCGACAGCTGGGGCTTGATGGCGATCCCAGTCATCGAGGCCCACCCGTGGTCCCTCTTCATCTTCACTGGGGCCTTGCTGACCCTCGTGTTCGGTGTCCTCAACGTGATCGTGGCCGTGGTCGTTGACGCCTTCGCGGAAGCGCGCGCCAAGGACGTGTTCACGAGGGCCCGCGAGATGGAGTGGGACGAGCAGCAGGATTAAGTTGGGCCTGTCCCTCTACAGGGGGAGGATTCAAAAATAGTCAAAAAATACCCTGTGACGTACCCAACCCATTTGTATCAATGGAAACGAGAAGTTGGCCGAAACTTGCATGGACAATCGACTTGATGTGTAAGGTACTTCGGGCACGCGCCTATGGCATGATGCGCAGGAGAATCATACAAGAACGAGGGGCGACAGCTACAGGCTCGAAGAGGACATGGGGAGTCGGGAACGCAGAGCAGAAGAAAAACGTGCGGGAAGCCGAAACATCAGCACGGCAACAGCAGAGTGAAGGTGACTGCAGGAGGAGAACAAGGACGAAAGCGGCGTCTAATTTGAGTCTGCGGTGGGTACCCACTGTGCTGTGCCCCTCAGCAGCCCTCGAAAGTGGCGACAGTTTCACAGATCGCAGCCCCCCAGGGATGGCGAGGTCTAATTTGAGTCTGCGGTGGGTACCCACTGTGCTGGGCCCCTCAGCAACCCTCGAATACACCCACTGTGCAGGGCCCCCCAGCAGGCTTCGAAAGTTGCGACAGTTTCACAGATCGCAGCCCCCCAGGGATGGCGAGGTCTAATTTGAATCTGCGGTGGGTACCCACTGTGCTGGCCCCCCCCCAGCAGGCCTCGAAAGTGGCAACCGTTTCACATATCGCAGCCCCCCAGGGACGGCGAGGTCTAATTTGAGTCTGCGGTGGGTACCCACTGTGCTGGGCCCCTCAGAAGGCTTCGAAAGTCGCGACAGTTTCACGGATCGCGGCCCCCCATGGATGGCGAGGTCTAATTTGAGTCTGCGGTGGGTACCCACTGTGTTGGGCCCTTCAGCAGCCCTCGAAAGTGGCGACAGTTTCACAGATCGCAGCCCCCCAGGGATGGCGAGGTCTAATTTGAATCTGCGGTGGGTACCCACTGTGCTGGGCCCCCCAGCAGGCTTCGAAAGTGGCGACAGTTTCCCAGATCGCAGCCCCCCCAGGGATGGCGAGATCTAATTTGAATCTGCGGTGTGTACCCATTGTGCTGGGCCCCCCAGCAGGCCTCGAAAGTGGCGACAGTTTCACTGATCGCAGCCCCCCAGGGATGGCGAGATCTACTTTGAATCTGCCGTGTGTACCCATTGTGCTGGGCCCCCAGCAGGCTTCGAAAGTGGCGACAGTTTCACTGATCGCAGCCCCCCAGGGATGGCGAGGTCTAATTTGAATCTGCCGTGTGTACCCACTGTGCTGGGCCCCCCAGCAGGCCTCGAAATTGGCGACAGTTTCACAGATCGCAGCCCCCCAAGGATGGCGAGGTTTAATTTGAATGTGCGGTGTGTACCCACTGTGTTGAGCCCCCCGACAGGCCTCGAAAGTGGCGACAGCTTCACAGATCGCAGCCTCCCAGGGATGGCGAGGTCTAATTTGAGTCTGCGGTGTGTACCCACTGTGTTGGGCCCTTCAGCAGCCCTCGAAAGTTGCGACAGTTTCACAGATCGCAGCCCCCCAGGGATGGCGAGGTCTAGTTTGAATCTGCAGTGTGTGTACCCACTGTGCTGGGCCCCCCAGCAGGCCTCGAAAGTGGCGACGGTTTCACAGATCACAGCCCGCCAGGAACGGCGAGGTGTAATTTGAATCTGCGGTGTGTACCCACTGTGTTGGGCCCCCCGACAGGCCTCGAGAGTGGCGACAGTTTCACAGATCGCAGCCCCCCAGGGATGGCGAGGTCTAATTTGAATCTGCGGTGTGTACCCACTGTGTTGGGCCCCCCAGCAGGCTTCGAAAGTGGCGACACTTTCACAGATCGCAGCCCCCCAAAGGCAGGATGGCGAGGTCGAATTAGAATCTGCGGTGTGTACCCACTGTGCTGGGCCCCCAGCAGGCCTCGAAACTGGCGACAGTTTCACAGATCGCAGCCCCCCAGGGATGGCGAGGTCTAATTTGAATCTGCCGTGTGTACCCACTGTGCTGGGCCCCCCAGCAGGCCTGGAAAGTGGCGACAGTTTCACAGATCGCAGCCCCCCAAAGGCAGGATGGCGAGGTCAAATGCAGGGGGGAAGAGAGGGACGGGAGGGGGTGGGAAGGAGACGGTGGGAAGGAGACGCGGTGGAAAGGAGACGCGCGAGCAGTGCTTTATCTAAAACGAGAACCCAACGCAGGAGGGTTGGGAATTAGTCAGGGGACTATTGTTTGACTATTTTGGGGCATGTTGGGAGTTTTTTTTGTATTTCTCATTGTTCGTCCAAAATCTCCCTGTAGGGGGACACGCCCGACCTAACAGCAGGAGAAGAAGGTGTTGAGCAACATCTTCAACAAAATCGACACAGATGGCAACGGCTCTCTGGATTTCGAGGAGTTGAAAGAGGGGGCCAGGAGGCACCAGCAGTTCAGCCATTTGCTCCGCGTGCTCGACATCGATACCCGTGATCTGGAGGAAATGTTCGTCATGCTCGACCACGATGGGTCTGGCGATATCAGCACGACTGAGTTCGTGGAGTGGATGTACAGGATGAAGAACACAGATTCAAAGACGGTCATTCAGTTCATCAAGCAGAAGCTGACGAAGATAGAGGAAAAGGTGCTCGAACAGGAGGACACCTTGGAGTCGCGACTGAACGACCTGGTGAAGTTCCAGTCCGATTGCCTGCAGAAGCTGAAGGATAATTATGACGCTCCAACTTGTTTTAGCCTTGACCACCTGAAGTAATTTCGCGCACCAAGAGAGCATCGAAACTGGAGGGCTCTCACGCGTCGGGCCCTGAAAGACAGGCCCCCAGCGCGTCGGGCATACACCGTTTCGGTAGCTTTCGGGGGGTGCTCGAACTTCTCTCGGGCATGCGATCTACAAGTACAGTGGAAACAACAACAACAACACCAACAACAACAACAACAACAACAACAACAGCAGCAGCAGCAACAACAACAACAGCAGCAGCGACAACAAAAGGAGGATACCTTCCAGCCCTGCCTGGCCGAGATCTCGGCCCTCCTGGAGGAGGCCCTGCAGAGGAGCGAGTCGTGGCACCGAGGATCGCCCGCGCGCCCAGGAGAGGAACGGGCGAGGGGGCGCGCCCTTCCGAGGAAGGCTCGGGCTGCCCCTCCGGCCTTCCGAGAAGCTCTGTTTTGTGCTGCCTCCTCCGAACCCAGACATGATCGCGTCGTGAAAAATCAGGACGGGCGGTTTTTCACTATTGTTCGGGCCCTGGGGGCCCTCGCCAGGCCTCGGGAGCGTCAAAACACGACTCAGGATGAAAAGCCGGTACTGGGGAAAGGGTCCGGGCTTTTGGGGACGCCGTCCTGAAAATATCAGGACGTCGCATGTCTGGGAAGCCACCGGGGGGGGCCTCCCAGAAGGCCCGAGAGCTCCTGATGGTGGGAGGCTTGAGACGGGGGTCAATGCAAACGGGGGTCAGCCAGAGCGCCCGATCTTGAAGGGCCAGGGTCGCATTGACCCGGGCTTGGGCGCAGGACCTTGCAGGATCTTGCAGGATCCTTCGCGTTGATCCCGGATTGGGTGCCGGATCTTTCAGGAGTTTGCAGGCTTCTGCAAGGCCTGACCCATCTGGGTCTGGGTTGACCTGGGTCAGAAGATCCCCGATGATGGAGCCAGACCGAGGTATCAGATCGAGGTCGGTCCGGGGAGGAGGCCCTGATGTTCCTCGTGTTGGTTAGATGTTCTTGTGCACCCTGGGGAGGGTACAGGGTCCGGCTTGAATAAGGAGCACTTATTTGTTTAAAGGGGTTCGGTCGTTCCTCTACCGTTGTAACGGCGAGCCCCCTGGTGCTCCTTCGGACTTCCTAGACTTACCTGGAAAAAAAGGCGCTTCGTTCCTCATTTCTCGTTCCTCAGGTCAGGCCGAATACTATACCCTTGGATGTTCCGCGTGCTCGGGCCGACGGAGGGCCTCGAGCGATGTTCTCTTGGACTGTCGGCCGTCTGTGGCGCCGGGAGTTGGGGGTGTGGGCAGGGCCCCCACCCTGACACGTCGACTCGTGGATTGTCCGTCTTCGGTTCTCGAGAGGGCGCCGCGGCCGTCGTCTTCCAGGCCTGCGCCCTCCAGGTTAGGGCCTGACGTCGTCTTCACCAAACCACGCCTCACTAAAGGGGGTTCTGTCCATCCCCGAGGGAAGGCCCGCCCCGTCCCGCCGCCCCCCGCTGGCGCGCGCGCCGGCGGCAGGAGGTACGGCCCT